AATAAAAATAAAAGATAAAGATGAAAACGGTCACTAATTACAACATGAAGACGAATATATCAATAAGTAAAATACATGTTACATAAATAGCAAAGGTATAAGAAAAATAAAAAAATTACAGATACATAAAAAACTCTAAAATCAAAATTAGAAAAAAATACACATGAAAATCATTTCAAACATACATTACTATAATTCAACGTAGATAAAATTGCAAACACAACGACTAAAATTAGTAATTACTAAAAAGAAATGAATCCAAAGATGTTATCAAAGAGCAAAAAGTGTGAGCAACTGTATAACTAAATAAAATGGATAACTGACAATATAGCACAGATAAGTAAACAATAAGGTTAGAACATTTTTTTTTCTTTTTTATTTCTTCTTTTTTATTTTTCTTTCTTTTTTTGTTTGATTATTTTTTCTTTTTTCTTCTTTTCTCGTCTTTTATTTTTTTATTTTTTTTATTTTTTATTTCTTCTTTTTTCTTTTTTGTTGATTTTTTTCTTTTGTCTTTTTTCTCGCCTTTTTATTTTTTTTTATTTTTTTATTTTTTCTTTTTTCGTTTTTTATTGTATTTTTTTTACCTTTTATTTTTTTTATTTTTTCATATTTTTATTTTTTATTTTTTTATTACTTATTTATTGTTTTTGTTTTTTCTACTTTTTTTTGATATTTCAAAACATGAACAAAAATAACAATATTAACAGAACAAAGTTCAAAAAATAAAAGCAAAAATCACAATGACAAAAGACAAAATAAAGGAATTTAATGTGGCAAAAGAATTTTCGCGATGAACAAATAATTTGAGGAGGCAAATTTATCAAGCGGATTTAAAATCCAGAAAAAAAAATTCGTTGCTGAGAAAAGGAAATGAAAAACGGATATCGAATATTCAAGAGTTTCATTGTGATTTTTGGAAAATACCAAAACAAATGGAAAATTAATAATTCAGAACATACAATTAGCAACTTATTGAAAAACTAATAATTCAAAACATATAATTAGTAACTCTATTTCTAAAGAAAACAACAAACAGAATAAGAAAATCAACAAAATAGTAAGAAATGAGAATTAGAAACAAAGAAACAAAAAAAAAAAAACAGTAGTACAAAAAATAAGTAACCTGCGTGAAGAGAACATTGATACTGGAGCGAGAGGAGATTGACGAAGTTGGGATGGCAATGGCTGCATCTTTCATTAGCTTCGCCATAAGGGGTAGAAATGTGTCATTATTGCGCGCCTGAAATAAAAAATAAAGATTGGCTGGAATGAATAAATTAATATTTGAGAAAACAATTTCTTGTATTTGGAATAATGTCTAAAAAAATGCTTCACTTACCAGGAATGAAATAATGCGCCGCTTCATCGTTTCTACCCGCTAGCTCGAGCCTTCGCCGTTTGACAGCCCTTTCATTCATTGTAGCCTTCGTGGCCATGGGGCACCATTCTAAAGAATGGAGCTCCATTGTAGCTGCGACTTCCTCGGCTGAGCGAACGTGCGGCATTTCGATGAAATGGCCGCATTTCTGGCAAAAACCTGAAACAGATATATTACATTAAAAATGTTCAGTAAACATTCGTTAAATAGAATTCTTTCAAAAACTAGGCTTAATCTAAGCAATAATATTTCGAGTTGAATTCACCATTTTGCCGATGCATTTTGGCGGCGTGAATTCGCCATCCCTTTAGCGTCCCGAATTCCTTAGGACAGATGCCGCATTCTGAAAAGATGACATGCATTAGAAAGAAACATTTATACAAATCACCCGTATCAAATTTAAATTTAGTGATGAAATAAGTTGAACTTACCAATTATTACCGACCCGTCAGCATTCCTAATCACTGTATATGGGTCGATTTCTGGCACAACCAGCAGTTCTTGATATTGTGCCGGCAAACCTTCCACTACCGGCACATGGAAGGCCTCCGGACTTGCTGGTTCCACCTCGCGGCCTCGTTGCATTGCAACCGGGACTCGCACGGTCCTGGAACGTCTGAAACATGTATTCGTAAGCGAAAATCATCCCGCAAAATTTGTCATGTGCTTAATTTTCCATCCTAATTAGGATATTCGCATTGTGAAATAATTTACGCTATGTATTTTT